GGAGCCTGATGCGGGACTCGATCCCGGGACTCCAGGATCATGACCTGAGCCGAAGGCAGTCGCTTAACCAACTGAGCCACCCAGGCGCCCCTTTATTCTTCATTTAAATTCAATTTAGTTAACATATACTGTCTTATTAGTTTCAAGGGTAGAATTTAGTGATTCATCATTTGCATATAACACCCAGTGCTCATTCCATCAAGTGCCCTCCTTAATGCCCATCACCCAGGCACCCCATCCCCCACACACCTCCCCTCCAGCAACCCTCAGTTTGTTTCCTAGAGTTCAGCATCTCTTATGTTTTGCCTCCCACAGATGAATGGATAAAGAAGATGTGTATATATACAATGGAATATTACTCAGTCATCAAAAAGAATGAAATCTTGTCATTTACAATGATGTAGGGGATGGAACTAGAGGGTATTATGCTAAGCAAAATAAGTCAGTCGGAGGAAGACAAATACCATATGATTTCACTCGTGTGGAATTTAAGAAAACAGATGAACATAGGGGAAGGGAAGGAAAAATACTATAGCTTTTAAATGAAATCTTTGTAATGTAGGTCCAATTCAATCAACATCCCCTCCCCACACTATGTTGTGCTGTGGGAGTAGTTTGGTTTACACTAACCGCCTCTGTTTCCCGCATACACTTTAGGATTATATTTTGAAATAAAAATTTTGTTGGGGTTTTATTAGCAATGTACTGAATGTAGAGATCTATATGGAGAGTATGGACATCTTTATAATAATGATCATTCCTATACAAGAACTTAGCATAATTCTTCATTTCTTACATTTTTATATGTCTATCAATAAAAATTCATACTTGGTCCAATAAGGCTTATAATCTTTTATTAGATTTATTTCTAGTTACTTTATATATTTCTTGCCATTTTGCATAGGACATCCTTTCTTAATTTTCAATTATTATTTTCTAAATTCAAGTATAATTAAATACAGTGTTACGTTAGTTTCAGGTGTACAATATAGTGATTCAACAGTTCTATACATTACTCAGTGCTCGTTGTGGTAAGTGTGTTCTTATCCCCTCCACCTCTTTTTTTTTTTTTTTAAGATTTTATTTATTTAATTGACAGAGAGAGAGAGACGGTGAGAGAGGGAACACAAGCTGGGGGAGTGGGAGAGGGAGAAGCAGGCTCCCTGCAGAGCAGGGAGCCCGATGTGGGACTTGATCCCAGGACCCTGAGATCATGACCCGAGCCGAAGGCAGACGCTCAACCAACTGAGCCACCCAGGCGCCCCCCCTTCACCTCTTTTACCCATTTCCTCCCACCCACCTCCCCTCTGGCAACCATTAGTTCTCCACGTTTAAGAGTCTGGTTTTGTTTTTTGGTTTTTTTTTTTCCGGTTTGTCTCTTTTTTTGCTTTGTTTATTCGTTTTGTTTCTTAAATTCCACATATGAGTGAAATCATATGGTATTTACCTTTCTCTGACTTATTTTACTTAGCATTATACCCTCTAGATCCATCTATGTTGTTGCAAATAGCAAGATCTCATCCTTTGTTTATGGCCAAGTAATATTCCACTGTGTGTTTGTGTGTGTGTGTGTCTACAACACATCTTCTTTACCCATTTGTCTATCAGTGGACACTTGGGTTGCTTCCATATCTTGGCTATTACAACAACAACAACAACAACAATAATAATGCAATAAACATAGGGGTGCTCATATCTTTTCAAATTGGTGTTTTTGTTTTCTTTGGATAAATACCCAAAGAGTGGAATTACTGGATCATATGGTAATTCTATTTCTAATTTTTTGAGGAACCTCCATACTGTTTTCCACAGTGACTGCACCAGCTTGCATTCCCACCAACAGTGTGAGTGGAGGTTCCCTTTTTCTCCACATCCTTGCCACACTTATTATTTCTTGTCTTTTTGATTCTGGCCATTCTGACTAATGTGAGGTGATACCTCATTTTGGTTTTGATTTGCATTTCCCTGATGATTAGTATACTTGATCTTAGCCAAAAGGCTGAGAAGCGATTCCCCCTGATGATTAGTGATGTTGAGTGTTTTTCATGTGTCTATTACCATCTGTATATCTTCTTTGGAAAAATGTCTATTCATGTCTTCTGTCCATTTTAATCAGATTATTTGGGGGTTTTTTGGTGTTGAGTTGTATAGGTTCTTTATATATTTTGGGTATTAACCTCTTATTAGATACATCATTTGCAAATATCTTCTTCCATTGAGTAGGTTGTCTTTTTGTTTTGTTGATGGTGTCCTGTGGTGTACAAACTCTTTTTATTTTGATGTAGTCCCTGTGGTTTATTTTTGTTTTTATTTCCCTTGCCTCAGGAGACACATCTAGAAAAATGTTTCTGTGGCTGATGTGAAAAAAATTACTGCCTATGTTTTCTCCTAGGAATTTTATGGTTTTAGGTCTCACATTTAGGTCTTCAATCCATTTTTTTCAATTTATTTTTGTGTATGGTGTGAGAAAGTGGTCCGATTTCATTCTTTTGCTTGTAGCTGTCTAATTTTCCCAGCACCATTTGTTGAAGAAACTGTCTTTTTCACATTGCATATTTTTGCTTCCTTTGTTGAAGATTAATTCATGATACAGCCATGAGTTTATTTCTGGCCTCTCTATTCCATTCCATTGATCTATGTGTCTATTTTTGTGCCAGTACCAGACTGTTTTAATTATTATAGCTTTGTAGTATACCTTGAAATCTGAGATTGTGATCCCTCTCATTTTGTTCTTTTTTTCC